TTGACTTGAGGAAACGTATCATGACTGAAACTCACAACTCTAAATTTGCTTTGCATCTGGGAAACGCGAAAATGTACAAGGATTTGAAACAAAATTTCTGGTGGCCTGGAATGAAAAAGTGTATTGCTGTCTTTGTAGCTAGATGTTTGTAATGCCAACAAGTTAAAGCTGAACATCAACAACCCACCGGACTACTTCAGCTACTTTCCATACCGAAATGGAAATGGAAGCATATTACCATGGACTTCATTGTGGGGTTGCCTCGCTCTTCCCGAGGTATGGACTTTATCTGGGTAATTGTTGAACGTTTAACTAAATCTGCCCACTTTTTGCCTGTCAAATCTTTCTATAATACAGATAAGTTAGCTAATTTGTATGTCAATGAGATTGTGAAATTGCATGGAGTTCCAATGTCCATAGTATCTAACAGAGATTCCAAGTTTACTTCGAGATTCTAGCAGAGTTTACAACAAGCTTTGGGGACTGAACTGAGACTAAGCAGTGCTTATCATCCACAGATAGAAGGCCAATCTGAACAGACTATTTAAACATTGGAAAACATGTTACGATTGTGTGTGTTAGACTTTCAAGGCAATTGGGAGACCTACTTACCATTGGGCGAGCTTGTGTATAACAACAGCTACCATTCAAGTACTGGTATGGCTTTTTATGAAGCTTTGTAATGTAGAAAATGCCATTTTGCGATATGTTGGGCCGAGGTAGGTGACAGACCTTTGTTAGGATCGGAACTTGTGCAAAAAACAACGGAAAATGTGAAATTAATTCAACAAAGATTGAAAACTGCACAAAGTAGCCAAAAAAGTTATGCAGATGTCCAAAGAAGAGACAGAGAATATGAAGTCGGGGATCATGTGTTTATCAAAGTGACTCCAATGAAAAGGCGAACTCGGTTTGGTGTGAAATGGAAACTGGCATCGAGATATGTTGAGCCATATGAAATTCTTGAGAAGATTAATCCAGTGACATATCGGGTAGCTTTACCGCTAGTCATGGAACATATGCTTAATGTTTTTCATGTTTCAATGCTTTCAGGACTATTTACGAGATCCACTTCATGTGATTGAGCCAACCCATGTGCTTCTAAAAGATAATTATGCACACAAAGAAATGTTAATTCAAATTGTGAATTGCAGAATCAAAAGATTGAGGAATAAAGAAATACCATTAGTAAAAGTTAATTGGCAAAATCACAGACAGATATATGCGACATGGGAGATGGAAGAGGATATGATAAAAAGATACCCTGACTTGTTCCCGTTGGATCCAGTATTCTTCCAAAACGAAGGTAATTCGAGTTTGGAGGACCAAACTCTTTAAGAAGGGAAGACCCATGATTAACTATTAATCCATGATTAAATATGCCTAATATGTAATTAAGCTAAAATCATGTGTTAATTGCATGAACTATATAGTGTTTGCATTTATATCTGTCTGTTGTAGGAATATTTGTTTGTGTTTGTGTTTTTGTTTTGTTTTGCGAATTGAAGGCCTTATCAATAGCCGATTACAAAATTGACTACGGTTATGTGTTATTTGAATTTTTTAGAATTTTATGGTTGGTTCAATTGAAATCCGATTTGGAACGAATTAAATTAGAATAATTAATGTCAATTTGATTAGCTTAAGTCAAGTTTAATTAAGCCTCCTTAATTGAGCCTATGTAAGGCTAATTTGACTCCATTAGTTCATTTTGAACCTTCATTCTATACTTTTTAAGCTAAAAAACGTGGGGAGGGGGGGGGGGAGAGAGAGAGAGAGAGAGAGAGAGAGAGAGAGAAGGAAGAAAATTGAGATCAAAAGCTAGGAAAACGGGGAATTGCTAGGAATTGTTGGAGAATTTGGGAGTTTAAGCTTCTACATTAGTGAATTTAAGACTTTAGGTAAGAATCTTGTCCCTAAACTTTGCATTCTAGACATATGTAAAAGGGTTCAAGAAATTAAGGTGGCTAAACATGAGTTAGATTGAGGAATTTTGGAAGAGTCATTGCATGCATGCATAATTCATGAAGTTTTGAGTTTGATTTCAAAGAATTTCCACATGTATGTGTTCATCTTGCCTTTGTTTTGAGGTTTCATGAAGTTTCACACCAAATTACCTTAATAACTCGTGAATAGAAAGCTTTGAAGCCAAGATAAATTAATACATGCTATGTTCTTGAAATTCTAAGTTTGAGTTTTCACAATTGGCATACTTTCGGGCCTTGATTTTGCAAAATGGTTTTGAATTCATGAAGTATGACAAGTTTATATAAGTTTCCTTATGTTTTTGGCCCAAAAGATCATGAGTTACAGCTTTAGAGTCGAGTTTGGAGCTTAGGAGCAAATCTGGAAATTCTAAAATTCTGCTCCTTCACTCGAGCGACAGATCCTACGCTCAAGCGACCACTTTATGTTTTGCACCTTTACTCGAGCAACTAAAAGTTGGCGCGAGTGTAAATTGCATACTCCTAGAAGTTTCTATGTATTGTAGACCGCTCGAGTGACAAGAGTTGCCCTCAAGCAAAGATCTCAATCTCACGCTCAAGCGACCGTCGAGCGTGCGTCGAGCAAAAAAATCAAGCAACCAATACTTTTACAAAGTTTGCAGACTGCTCAAGCGACTAGAATTACACTCGAGCAAAGAAAGTTGCGCTTGAACGAGGCCCCTGTTTTCCACATATTTGACTAAGTGGTTTCAAGTGCATTTTATCATCCTCATTGCATCCTAGGCATTCCTAGGCCAAGATTAAGACATAATAAAGAGGATAAGACTTAGAAACACATGAAGAACGAAATGAAATAATTTAAGTACAATTCGAGCATGTGTTTCATTATGTGTATCTGTTATGTTTGTGTAGGTCACGCTCCGTAAGCTATTGATCCATTGGTTGCTATCAAGCTATCTGTGCAACTATTTGTGAGTAATAACTTTGTAAAGCTATGTTTGATATGAAGTACTTTCTATACATTATGATATGATATGAATTGTTTCTAAATGACACAAAAGGTTATTTTGTGATTCCATAAATGATGATCCATATCTTTGACATGTATTTGAAGTATCCTTGGCAGAGGCCCTCGCCCTGGGGAAATAATACTGTGGCTTAAGGTCATGAGGCCCTCGCCCGGGAGAAACAATACCGTGGCACAGGCCCTCACCCAAGGGAAACAATACCGTGGCCCATGTATGAGATATGTTACCCGGTACCAGAGGTTCCATTATGGAACTTGATATGCTTGACCAAAGTGATATGTTAATGCCAATGGAAGTACCACACGTGATTTGAATACGATTATGAACATGACTCTATTTTTGATACGACCGTGCTTATCTCTGTAATTGATACGATATGAAACTGGACATCATTCATTAAATCTTTACTTTGTCATTATTCACTGAGCTTTCGCTCACTATTTATATTATGTATGTAGGCGACCGGGTGCGTGACCAGGCTCAGAGTTGATGACTTGGAGTCTTTGTTTTGTTGCCAACCATTGTGCCTCCCGAGGAGGTTCCAGAAAGAGTTCAATGGTGGAGTTTTGTAAACCAAGACATAAGCTTAAGACTTTTGTTGTTTTGTGACTAGTTCTTTCTTTCTACTTTGTGTATAATAACAAGATTGGATGGATGTATATGACGTCATATATGTATATATATATACAAGGTTTTTAATTATCTATTCCATGTATTTCTGCACAGCTCTATGGACTATGTATGTTTCTATTTTTGCTTCAATAGTCCTTATTACACGATAATCTGTTCAGAGGCCTTCGGTAATCCAAGGATTACTGGCCGATTACGATGCTAAACCTATAGAGGTAGGTTTGGGTCGTGACAGTAGCAATGCCGAATGGCATGAATTCCTAAGTTCAGATAGAGTCTACGGTTCACCTTTACTATGCCCATTATTATTCGGTAAAAGTTTACATTGGGTTGAGAAGGAATAAGGCCTCAATAACGGAGAACAGTCCTAAGTAAAGGGTGGAGAGGAAAACAAACTCCACCCTCAACAATCACCAGTAGATGGAAGACGATGGTATTAACGTTAACCCTCTCCTTGTCAACCTTTATGTCCCAACGAGGGTTAATTGAACATCTTCAGGGATCAAAAAGTGATGACAGAATGCGACGATCCTGTCCTCAAACAATAGGGCTTTTAGGTGGTTGGCCATAGGAGCGAAGAAGAACGTGAAAATAAAAACAAACGGAGAAGTAACGGAAAAAAGACAAACTGAAACTTCGAGAAAAAATAACGAAAAAAAGAGATAGGCTGAGAGGACTCACAGGTTGAAGCAAAGAACTCGCAAACAATAGAGAGAGAGAGAGAGAGTAAAGGGAGCAGAGCAATCAGAAGTGAGAAGTTGAAAAAGGAAGGTTGTGAGGATGCAAGTATAAAGTCCTTTCGGAAACGAAAAGGCGAAAGGTTTTCAAATTGCATTAAATGAATGGAAATCATGAAGAAACGGGAAACTGCAATCGTTTCACATTGCATCCCATCTGACATGTCATCAATGAAATAGCGTGTCCATCACACACCCAAATTTCTAAGCGCAAAGTACAACCAATTTTGAAGTCTGTGAATACGGTCTAAAAAGAAGCCAAGCACACAGCCCACTCAGAGCGTGAGTTAACTTGGTGCTCGAGGGGCAATTGTGGTAGCCGAAAATAGGTTATACTTGAAAACGACAAACAGAGCAAGCAAGCCCGTCTAAAAACCCATTTGCATCCAACAATTTTGGCTCCCTTAGGCAATTCTACAAGATCCCAGACATTGTTGTCTTTCATGTATTTTAACTCATCTTTTCATGGCATTTAACTATTGAGTTGCATTTTCATTATTCATGGCTTGGGCATAAGAAACAGGATTGTTCTCCAAGCCTATATCACACTCATTTAGGTAAACCTCATAGTCATCTGATATGACTGGTTTATTTTCTCTTTGTGATTTTCGTAAAGATTGTTTTGTAACTAGGACAACTTCTTTTTCAATGTGCGAGATCTATTGAGTACCAACATTATCCACAATAGGTTTAGGTACTTCATTTTCTCGGATAATTGTGGAAGGCATAAAAGCACGCTTTTCCTCCAAAGAAACATTTTTAAGATTCATTCTCCCACTAATGTCTTCATTCTCTAAGAACACATCATTTCTAGTTTCAACAATTCTTGTGCTATGAATGGGACAATAGAATCTAAAACCCTTTGATCTCTCTGGATATCCAATAAAATAACAACTTATAGTTTTAGGGTCTAATTTCTTTAGTTGTGGATTGAAATTTTTTTCTTCAACAGGACAACCCCATATGTAAATAATTCAAATTAGGCTTCCCATCAACCCACAACTCATAAGGAGTTAAGGCACAGCCTTACTAGGAACCCTATTAAGAACATGTACAACAGTTTTTAAAGTTTCACCCCACAAGAAATTTGGCAAGAAATCTGGCAAAGAAGAGTTATTCATCATAGTTCTCATCATGTCCAAAAGAGTACGGTTTCATCACTCAGCTACACCATTTTGCTCATGTGTATCGAGCATAGTGTAGTTACCAACAATACCATTCTCAGCTAAAAATAAAGCAAAAGCACTTGGATTTTGACCCCGATTCAGTGAATCTACCATAAATATTCACTGCCTCTATCAGATCGTACACTTTTAATCCGTCAGCCAAGTTGATTTTCAACTTCAGCTTTATAGAGTTTGAACAAATCTAGTGCTTCTGATTTTTCACGAATAAGATACACATTAGTATACCTAGAAAAGTCATCAATAAAAGTAATAAAATATTTATATTCAAAAATAGTTGGAAGAGTAAAGGGACTACATATATCAGTATGAATTGTGTCTAATAATTCAGTAGTCCTAGCAGCACCATTTTTCTTTGTCTTTGTGTATTTTCCTTTAATGCAATTCACACAAGTACTAAAATCAAAAAAATCAAATGAACTTAAAATTTCATCTTTAATAAGGCGTTCCATCCTTTCTCTTGATATGTAGCCCAAGCGTTTATGGCACAACATGGATGAATTTTCATTCATTCGCTTTCTCTTTTTATTTACCAAGTCGTTTACATGAAAGGATAAAAGAGATTGTGCATAAGTGAAATCTAAATTCAATAAATAAAGATTACCATATAAAGTACCAGAACCAATCATATGAGAATTATGGAATAAGAAACTCTATTTACCAATAGCCTCAGTGTCCAGTTCTATTCCATTCCCAACCGTAATGGTTCATTCTCCTTTATTTAGTTTCCGACTTGTAAGGTATCCCTGCATGGAATTTGTTATATGAATACTTGCACCAGTGTCAATCCACCAAGAATTTAGTGGGACATATACCAAAAAGGATTTGTAAGACACAAAGCATTGAGTATTACCTTTCTTGTCCAACCAACCTTTACAACCTAGACAATCTTTTCCCATGTGACCTTTCTTCCAACAAAAATGACATCGAATCTTATTTTTTTCATTAGCCTTGTGAGTTTCATCATTTGCATTCTTCTTCTTTTTACCTTTTCCTTTCTTGAAGATCTTTTTGGTTGGACCCAAGATGGTAAGGTGAGCTATATTAGGCTTTTCAACTTTAAACCTCTCTTCTTCTTGAACACACATGGCAATTAACTCGCTTATCTTCCGCTTATCTTTCTGTGTATTATAATTGATCTTGAAATGACCAAATTATGCAAGAAGAGAAGTCATAATGAAATGAACAAGAAAACCTTCAAAAATTTCCATGTCCATTGCCTTTAATTGAGAGGCCATCTTTAAGATATGTTCACGAACACCACTCAAACCATCATATTTCATTGTCATCACTTTAATCATGAGAGTACTAGCAAGGGATTTGGAAGTTCTAATGAATTGTTCTTCAACAGATTTCATATAGTCCACTGCACTTTCAGAAGCAGGGATTGCTCCTTGAATTGCAAGCGTAAGTAATTAAGCCTTTCATAATCATTAAACTTAAGTGATTAGAGCATTCCCATTTTTCATATAAAACCATGTGCTCCTTAGAACTTGTATCATTAGACTTTGTAGGTGCTGGCTCTCTTAATGCATAGTCTAAATCTATAATTCCCAAAACAATTCCAATTTATTCCTTCCATTTCTTAAAATTAGTTTCATTAAAAACTTCAATACCAGACGAGTAACTATTAATTGCAGTAGGATTTAATGCTGCAAACACATAATATCCATTACATAACTTAATATAATCAAGAATACTACTTTTCACATGTCATGAATAAAAATAACACCACAAGTTAAATATATCTAATAACTGAAAAACATAATTGGTTAGATATGAAATCAAATTATCCTTCTGTTGGGTCAAATAACAATATATTTTAGCAATTTCATAAAAGTAAATGAGATGACTAATAAAAATAAACAACATAAAATAAAATAAAATAATTATTAAGACCGTAACGAGTTTATCACCGTTGGACAGAAAAACTCAATATCTTATATTATTTTATTAACTAAAACACATGAGAAGTTTATCACTATTGGGCAAAACAACTCATTGCAATATTTATTATACTAGCCATCTCGGTTGTTCAAACATACATAGTGTTGAACCTCGGTTGGGTTGATCAACAATGTTTCAACTCATAAGGTGTGTAACAAAACATTACAAGTGCATAAGGCATTATTTTAATTACCACTTATTCAATAATTTATAATTTTTTATTTTAATATCAATAGAATAAAAGATTAACCAAAAACAAAGATAAAATTAAACAAGTGTAAATCAAGGCTATGCAATAGTTACATAAAATATCATCATAAAATGAAATTCATACTTATACGCATCATGCATCAGAATTGAGAACAATACTCTGATACCAATTGATAGAAAATTTTGCGAAACAAAAACTAATAACCATTAAGAATTCAATTATATATATGAAAGCTATATGAATTTCTATAACACAAAATAAGTGTATACGTACCTTAATCCATAATAGTATGCAAACCTCCTTTGAGAAAAAGAAACCTTGAATAAAAGACCTTGATCTTCAAGTTCTTTATTTGTCTAAGATCTTCCAACCACTTCTCTCTCTCTCTAGGCAATGAGAGCTTTCTTGTGGTGACAACTTGAATTTTGGTAATAGAGAGTGATTTGGGACCTTACACTATTTATACTAGTAATCTTCTTATCAAAGAATCTATTCATTCAATGAACCTCATTAGATAAATTAATGTATCTTCTACATTCATAATAGATACATAATGCATCTCTAAGATTCATTCATAATGAATCTATCATATTCAATGCATTGACACTATCTACATTAGTCTTCTATACATTATATATATATATGTGCATTCATCAATCATAAGCCACCACCTAATTAATGTATATGTATCTTGTTTAATGAGATGAATCTAATATAATCACATATAAACTCCATCAAGCCACAGATTCCATGGAAACTTAATATAATCGTATACTTTGTAATCTTGCTTTATGCCACCACGTGTAGTCAGATAATTACGTTCACTTACACAACATTTGATTCGTGAATAGTGAAATAAGATTAAATAATTTCATTAAAAAAAGTTGTATATTTAATTTAAACTTTTTAATTCAAAATAAATATTCTTAATGACTTTTTTTTTATCCTACCTATACATATGAATAATATTAGGGATTATTTTGTCCTTCTGAAAAAAAAATATTAACTAATTATTTATGTGCGAAGTTATGTTCATTCTGTAATCATATTTCATGTGCATAAAAAATTATAAATTATTCAGTTTAATTGTGTGTTTTATTTTGTGATAAAAAAATATATATATATATAAAAATGCTTGACTTCCAGTCCCTAGTTTTGTGGAAGGCATACAAAGGCTCCGTTTGGGAAGAGAGGTTTGGAGCTTTTCTAGCTAAAATAGTCACAACAAATAAAATAGGCTTTTAGCCTAATAAGACAAAACATCACATTTAACCCATAATCATTATATTCTTTCTCTCACAAAAAAGTCAAAAAAGTTAAAAGTTCTTTCTAAACTAAGCTTTTTAATTTCAAGCTAAAATAATAAAAAAAATCAAAAAGCTAAAAAAATAACTCACTTCCGAAACGAACTCATAAGAAGAAAGTAATGAAATAGCATATCACGGAGCTTCGGCCGCGTGCAACGACTAGCACACTGATAGAACCTTAAAAAGTCATAGGCACATAGCAGCGATATGCAAAGCCATATCTAAAATGTTTGGTGGTCTAAATTTTTATGATTTGAATAGTTTGAATGTGTCAAAACGATATTATTTTACATCTAAAATGACGTCATTTTAAGTGTTTCGAGCCATTCGAGTCATAATTTTTCAAATCACCTAACATTATTGATCTTGTTATGGAGTACAACTTCTTTCCAGATCATTGGTATAGACGAAAACATATTTAATTTGGTTTGTTCATTGTAGATAGATATTATTTTTATGAATCAAATCATTCTGATAGTTATAAATACACCATTTCATTACATTTGTATAATAGAAAAATAAACAAGTAATTATAAATTTAAAAATAAATAATTCAATTTTTTGGATAGACCAATGTGATAAATCATGTAGTTATGATTATTGAATTTTTTATTATTATTTTTTTTTATGCATGGTCTATGGACACATGCCTATAAAATAAACTGTTTAACTAATAAAAATAAGGTCGTTTTGTGTCTATGAAACCGAACGATAGAAGGGGCTAGTTATCAGAGTTATTGTATTTGGACTTGAATTTTTGTTTTCGTTAATTTCTTATGAATAAAAAAATATATATAAAAATAAAAATAAAAATAAAAATAGAGCTTAATCAATAATAGTAAACGGGATAGAAATGCTATTCTTTATTGTCGATCCCTGTTAGGATGCTCAAAGGATAGTATTAGACAGAGTCCAGCTATTGACATTATTTGTTCTTTTTTTTTCTTTTTTTTTTTCTTTTTGGTTACAACGGAAATGGAAAGGAAAAACATGGACTAAGCCCGTTCCCTAGACAAGCCTATCATATCAGAAATTAAAAGGCTTCTAATTTCCGCTGGTGGCTCATTGACCACCAACATATCTTTGGGTTGTTGCGCTCCAAACTTTGCCAAGGCATCGGCACAAAGATTTCCTTCCTTCCAAACGTGCTGGACAGTGCATTGACAGCCTTGGAGCAAGATTTTGGAGTCCTCCACCAGATTCTTGAAAGGGCAATTGTCCCTTGTTTCTTCATTCATCAGTTGTACCACCTGCATTGTATCTAATTCAATGGTCACATTGTCCATGCCTTTTTGTAGGATCACGGTGAGTCCCTTGTATAGAGCCCACAATTCAGCTTCAAGACTAGTTCCAGGTTGCAAACGTTCATAATAACCACACACCCAAGCTCCATGTTCATCCCGGATCAGCCCACCAAAGCCTCCATCTCCTCCAATTTTCTTGCTTCCATCAGTGTTTAGTTTCAGTCTACCTGCAGGAGGAAAGCACCATTTGATTAGTTTAAATGAAGGTCTGGGTTATGGTACAGATTGGAGGAAAGTTTGATGGATTTCTTGAGAGCAGTCAAAAATAAATTTTGCACTCTCTTGGTTACTAACAGATTTTCCTTCGAATACAAATCCATTTATGTTTTTCCAAAGTTTCCATAGAGCCACCACAAAAACAAGAAACCAAGAGAGCTGTGCATTAAAATTATTTTTATTTTTTGCATTCCTCATGAGCCAATCCATCCAAGGTCTCCTCATCATGTCTATGTACCATTGTTTTCCATGAAGAACAGTCCACAAGAAACCTTTTAGTTTCTGTGGTAGTCTCAGTTTCCACACCCAAGACCAGTCCTCTGCCATATCCTTCCTGTTCTGAAGCATTTCATACACAGAGGACACAGTAAATTCCCCACCAGGAGATCCCTTCCAGAATGGGGTGTCCATCCCACTGTTTCCAGGGGGTGGAGTTCCCAGGATAATATTAGCCAATGGCTGAGGGAAGTTGTCATTAATTAGAATAGCATCCCAATTCCCATCTGCCCCAGTAACTCTCTCAAATTGGTTATGTGAATAGCATCAGTAGTATTAAATTGCATATTTCCAGAAACAGTGTCCTCAAAGGAACTATTTCCACACCACTAATCTTTCCAAACATGCACAGACCTGTCATCACTAAGGTTCCATTTAACACCTTTCCATCAGAAAGGTCTGGTGCTCATGATACCTCTCCAAATATGAGAAGCATCCCTACCTTTCTGCTCACACCACAAACTGTTTCTGTTTCTAATCAAATTCCAGCCCAACTTAGAGATCAAAGCCAGGTTCTGATCCCTAGCTTTTTTAATCCCCAGACCACCTGCTTTTTTCATTTTGCACACAACATCCCAATTAACTAGGCGAATTTTCTTCTTTTCCAGAGTGTCTCCCCAGAGAAAGTTTCTATTCATACTATCAATTTCATTGCAAACCTTAGCTGGTAAGAGCACAGTCTGCATAGCATAGGCAGGTATAGCAGAAGGCACAGATTGGATTAGAGTGGCTCTACCAACCATAGATAGAGTATAGGCTTTCCACCCAGCCAACCTCCTTTGCATCTTATCTAAAATGTGGGTGAAAATGCCCCTGTTAACTCTACCATGGATGATAGGGACACCCAAGTATCTCCCTAAATCAGAAGTAAGGGGGATGCCAGTCTTGTTACTCATTTCTTTGGCACTCCTCCTCTCAATATTAGGAGAGACAAATAGTTTGGACTTATGATGATTAATTTTCAGACCAGGAATATCACAAAATTCATTCATAACCTTCATGATAGTACTACAATTGGAGGTAGCCTGCCCAAACAGCATTAAATCATCAGCAAAGAAAAGGTGGGTAAGTTTTGGCCCTTTTCTGGAGGTCTCCACCCCTTTCCAAGTTTTATGATCAGCTTGAAAACTAATCATATTCGATAACCTCTCAAGACAAAGCACATACAGGTAAGGAGACAAAGGGTCCCCTTGTCTCAACCCTCTTGCTGGAATGAATTCCTGAAGTGGGACACCATCCCAGATAACAGCAGAACTAACAGTTGTCACACAATACATAATAAGCTCAATGAAATTATGATCAAAATTAAACTCCTCCAAAGTTTGTTTTAAAAAATCCCAAGAGAGATTATCATAAGCTTTTTCCAAATCAATTTTAAAAACCAAACCACCCTTCTTACCCTTCTTTTTGTTGAGAGAATGAATGATTTCTTGGGTAATGATTATATTGTCACTAGTATTCCTTCCAGGAATGAAGCTACTTTGGTTAGGTCGAACAATCTTGCCTAAGAGGGGCCTCAATCTATTGACAATGATTTTTGAAATAATTTTCTAAGAAACATTGCAAAGACTAATAGGCCTAAATTGTTTCACACTCTCAGGGTTATCAATTTTAGGGATCAAAGCAATAAGAGTTCTATTCACATCTCTGGGAATATGATTTTTAAGAAAACAATTTTTAACAAAATCACACATGGACGCACCAACAATGGACCAATAAGTATGGAAAAACACAGCCTGAAACCCATCCCTCCCAGGAGCTTTAAAGGCATTTATATTCTTAACAGCATTCCACACTTCATCATTAGAAATGGCATTAGTAAGAGTAGCATTGTCAGCCTGGTCTAGCTTGCAGCTCACCAGGTTATTCCAATTAGTAGGAGAAGTGGAAGGGGTATACCCAAAAAGATTCATAAAGTAATTAGTGATCAAATCTTTCAATTGTTCAGGTTGATCCACCCACATCCCATTCTCATTTTTAAGCATTTCAATCTTTTTCTTTCTTCTTTTAGCCAAGGTAGTAAGGTGAAAGTATTTGGTATTTCTTTCACCTTGAGTTATCCACTTGGCTCTAGACTTTTGGAACCACAAGAGTTCTTCTTGATACAACACATGATTATATTGCTCAATAAGCTCAAATTCCAGATGGTGAAGATTATGGGAATAGTTGGTAGCTTGGGATTTCTGGATCCCTTCGATCGTCCCAAGTAACCATCTCTTCCTTCTAAAAATATTACCAAAAATCTCACTTTATTCCAAGTATTAGCAACATGAGCAAGATTATCAAGCTTCTCACTCAGAGAAGAAGTAGGAATGGTCCAACTACTTTCAACAATAGATTTGAAGTTTTCATGGGTGATCCATGCAGCCATAAACTTAAAAGGTCTACAAACAGGGTTAAAGGGAGAAATACCTTGGGTGAGCACCATCATTGGAGAATGATCTGAATAGGTACGAGGGAGGTTCCTAACAGAACCATCTGGAAATGTAAGTCGCCATTCAGTATTGCACAAAGCTCTATCCAGACGAACCATAGTATTAGCCCAACCTTTCTGATTGTTAGACCATGTCAGTCGTGGACCTGCACAACCTAAATCCATCAGCTTACATAAATTAAGTCTGTCATTGAACTTACTACTTCTTCTAAGGTCTTGATTAATACTCTGAGTGTTGCTCCCTTGAAGGCTCTGTTTCTCATTTGGGGATGAGAAATCGTTAAAATCACCAGCAACTAACCATGGTTTATCCATGGACTGAGAAATAGTTGTAAGTTGTTCCCATAATTCATCCCTCCTGTTAGAATTAGGACTAGCATACATAGCTGATAAAACCCAATCTTGGAAGTCTTGTCGAGAGATAATCGTTGTGATCTGTTAGGAACATGCCTTCACAACTCTGACATTCACCACATTAGGGTTCCAAATCATCCAAATACCTCCACTGCGCCCAATAGGATCCACATGAGTTGAAGTCGTGAATCCCATGAAGTTGAAGTACATTCCCATGGCTTTAAATTCCACTTTAGGCTCCAAAAGCACAACCAGAGCTGGTTTATGAATATGGACTAGCTCTCTCAAAGTTCTTTTGAATTTCTTGTTACCTGCTCCTTGACAATTCTAGATCATTAAATCCATGGAGGGTATATCATGATTAGGTAGAGGGTTTTGGATATCAAGTTCCAGATACCTTCTTATTGCTTGGTGATTCTCTACCATTGACTTCATCGGACTCATTGAGATGTAATGCAGCTCCTGATGTGCATCCACTGGTCGCCAAGCCTAGATTCTCAGCTTTATTTCTTCGTTCTACCACTCTGAGGTGACGAGGTGATATGCTTCTTTCCCTGGTGTGAGGCACACCATCACTCTGTTCTGGGCCATGTTGTGTTTCTCCATAGGATAGTTCTCCCATTCTTCTTCCATATTTGTCTGGTGGATCTCTAAGTTTGGGTTTGTTGAAACCAGCTCTATATTTAGGAACCTGAGATTTTATGAGAGAGCTTTTGGGTTGGCTAGGTGTGGTTATGCTGATGGTTTCAGATTTCTGGATTACTGGAATTAGAGCTGCCTGAACGAGTAGATGGCTAGTAGCAGGTTGCTCTTCTATCCCAATCTCTGCCTGTTGATACTGAATCTCCATGTCAGATATAATTTTCTTCCCCAGTCGAATCTCCTTTTTTTGCTTGTCTTTATTTACTGCAGTGTTATTGGCAGTTCTCCTCTCATGTACCTTAGGGTGGTGGGTGGATCCTGTCTCAATGTGGGCCTTACCATTAGTCTCTCTTCCTCGGCCTATATGGGCTTTGTTTCTTGTAACTGGCTCACTTTCTTCATTGAGTGCTTCAAATCTGTTGTTCTGTTGCATATTCCCTTTGTATATGACTGGGCCTTTAGTTAGCCTTCTATGTTTGGATACAGTCATCCATGGCCCATATTTTCCATGAGTAGACTCACCAACATGAACTACTGATGAGAGTTTAGGTTCATCTCTGTGTTGGTCTTGTTGACCTTGATTGTTTTCTCTAATCTTCCTTTGATTTGATTTTGTAGCCTCCAGCACTGGTCTATCACTGCAACTCTCCTTCCGGTGCCCGACCCTACCACAGGAAAAACAAAATGAGTGCAGGTATTCATATTCAACACCGTAAACATGTTTACCTATAGAAATTTGGGAGACCAATGGCTTTCGGAGGTCCATTTCCACACAAACACGAGCATATTTCCCTCGAGCGGCCATTGCAGTGTTGATATCTATCTTCAATGGGACTCCTAGCACTTTTGCTATATGGAAAAGGGCTTTTTCATTGAAGTACTCGATGGGTAAAGTAGGAAACCTTACCCATATCGCTGTGGTATCTTCCTCAGCTTCATTGGACTTGAAATCAGGTTGCCATTTTCGCACTGTTACATAGTGATCCATCACTATCCATGGACCTCCAGTAAAGACTTTGGTATAATCTTCCATCAAATCAAATTTAACTATAAAGAAACCATTCCCTATATCCAGAGCTTTGAAATCATCTTGAAGACCCCAAACCTTTGTCATTTTTATCATAAATAATTTGTAGCCGATGTTTTTCCCCAAAAGGCTCACAATCAGACATTTCTTCCATGGCTCTCTAATCTTTTTCAACAAAGTTGCTGGTAGTTTAACCTTGGAGATCCCATCTTTCTCCTCCTCCATTTCCTCATCTTCTGCCTCAGATGATTTTATCGTAGGTGTTTCTTCATCATCAGATGATAACACCTCCAGATTAGGATCAAAATTCTTTTCATTACCATTCTTATTGAAATGCAATCGCATTAATGCTTGCTTGAAGGAGGTGGAATCTTTAATAGCCCCAGTAATTTCCACCGTTACATCATCAGATTTCCCTTCAGTAGGAGAAGATTTCTCCTAATTCGTAATGACAGCCATCGGACTAGGGTTGAGTGACTCCTCCCCTGTTTCTGTATCTGTTGTTGCGCTTTCAACCATGGCTTCATCTTCAGGGTCAACGTTGCTCTTAACTTTCTTAGTGCTTCGAATCAGATGATCTTTCTCTTCCATCGAGCACCCATGATCGGTTTTTCGTTCTCCATCTCTCGGTATCTCAGTAACGGCCATCTCTCAGGTGCAAAAGTACAAGAAGCACATTATTTGTTCAAAGTTGCCATTTCTCAAACAAATAGCCACCACAAAAACAAGAAACCAAGAGAGCTGTGCATTATAATGATTTTTATTTTTTGCATTCCTCATGAACCAATCCATCCAAGGTTTCCTCATCATGTCTATGTACCAATGTTTATCAAATACAATGAGCCACACTTCCTTTGCTATATAACAGTCTCTAAACAAATGATTCATATCCTCAATCCCATTACATCTAGGACAGTAGGGAATGTCAGTCAATCCTCTCTTTAATCTCATTTGATTAGTGAGCAGTTTTCCATGAAGAACAGTCCACAAGAAGCCTTTTAGTTTCTGTGGTAGTCTCAATTTCCACACCCAAGACTAGTCCTCTTCCATATCCTCCCTGTTCGGAAGCATTTCATACACAGAGGACACAAAATTCCCCACCAGGAGATCCCTTCCAGATTGGGGTGTCCATCCCACTATTTCCAGGGGGTGGAGTTCCCAGGATAATATTAGCCAATGGCTGAGGGAAGTTGTCATTAATTAGACTAGCATCCCAATTCCCATCTGCCCCTAGTAACTCTCTCAAATTGGTCATGTGAATAGCATCAGTAGTATTAGATTGCATATTTCCAGAAACAGTGTCCTCAAAGGAACTATTTCCACACCACCAATCTTTCCAAACATGCACAGACCTGCCATCACTAAGGTTCCATTTAACACCTTTCCATAAGAAAGGTCTGGTGCTCATGATTCCTCTCCAAATATGAGAAGCATCCCTACCTTTCTGCTGGTCAAAGAAGGAAGTATTATTTAAGTATTTATGTCTCAAAACCTCACACCACAAACTGTTTCTGTTGCTAATCAAATTCCAGCCCAACTTAGAGATCAAAGCCAGGTTCTGATCCCTAGCTTTTTTTATCCCCAAACCACCAGCTTTTTTCATTTTACACACAACATTCCAATTAACTAGATGAATTTTCTTCTTTTCCAGAGTGTTCCCCCAGAGAAAGTTTCTATTCATACTATCAATTTCATTGCAAACCTTAGCTGGTAAGAGCACAGTCTGCATAGCATAGGCAGGTATAGCAAAAGCCACAGATTGGATTAGAGTGGCTCTACCAACCATAGATAGAGTATAGGCTTTCCACCCAGCCAACCTCCTTTGCATCTTATCTAAAATGTGGGTGAAAATGCCCCTGTTAACTCTACCATGGATGATAGGGACACCCAAGTATCTCCCTAAATCAGAAGTAAGGGGGATGCTAGTCTTGTTACTCATTTCTTTGGCACTCCTCCTCTCAATATTAGGGGAGACAAACAGTTTGGACTTATGATGATTAATTTTCAGACTAGAAATATCACAAAATTCATCCATAACCTTCATGATAATACTACAATTGGAGGTAGTAGCCTGCCCAAACAGCATTAAGTCATCAGCAAAGAAAAGGTGGGTAAGTTTTGGCCCTTTTCTGGAGGTCTCCACCCCTTTCCAAGTTTTATGATCAGCTTGAAAACTAATCATATTCGATAACCTCTCAAGACAAAGCACAAACAGGTAAGGAGACAAAGGGTCCCCTTGTCTCAATCCTCATGCTGGAATGAATTCCTGAAGTGGGACACCATCCCAGTGTAGACGTCCCCGAACGCCCCGGGAGGATGAATCCCCCATTCTATTCATTGGGCTCACTACAGTTCAGGACTCAATGTCACGGTCCTGTATCTAATCTCGCAGAGTGCAATGCAAGACCGATGAAATCATCAAAGAGTCCAAATCCGGCAAATCGTTTTTTAAAACAGATTTTTTGAACGAAGTGCCAAACATGGATTGCTTTGCCAGATATTTTATTTTGGAAAATTTAGGAAACCCTGACTCGTTGCCTAAGGCCACGTGTCTGTCATCACCAAAGTTGCCTCGGCTCGGAAACTTGGGTACGATTGGGGAAGGTCAACTATGAGCACCCCCTCTCGCCCGATCCGAAGATCGGCCTCTACTAACCATGATATCTCGTTTTTGAAAACACATGCGTTCTTATTCCGATTAATTAGCTAGAATTACTATGTGATGCGCACAGCATACAAGTATAGACTAGATCGCCTAATTTGGAACAAAGCATTGCATATCCGTTTGTTTGGAAATGTTTGAAGTTTGCTACTCGCAAGTAGGCTAAAACACGGATTTCAATGAATTATCCCAATTCAAGTAATCCAACCTTCACCCACATGTATTCAGGCAATTTATCACATAAGCATATAGCCACATGGTAGGCATGCTGTCTTGTTAACATTCACATTCATGCGAGATGCTAAAGCACAAATACTTACAGTGTACTCCGAGCCAAAACAAAGAACTTGTTAGTAATCAAATGTATGATCCAAGTCCATGTTAGAATGGCTAATGCATCGCAGGCAAAATGCAACTAGAATAGGCTCGGCTAATCTATGGACGGCATGTGAAATGCAATAGATAACATGTATTCAAGTTAGATTTGAAATACTATGCAGTTAGTATGATGTGCCGAGCCCGGTGCATGCAATACAGATGAATGAATGCACGCATGCATAGCATAAGGTATGCTAATTGAAATATGCCCTAAATCTAACCATTGTAAGCGGCTAAGTAAAAGGAAGAAAGACGTGGGCTTGGAAGACATACATCACACGCACGCACACTTATTACAATTGCACCTTCGCTCGAAGGGAC